TGTGTGTGTGTGTGTGTGTGACAGAGGGAAAAAGGGTTTCTTAACAACCCTTTGAGATACAACCTGAGAGTCACCAATGGAAAGACAATTATGGCTTCCTCTTCTTGCAGAAGCTTGTACTCACAACTGGCTGGATCTCCCCACCTGTTCTCCCTTAGGAAGCACATACCCCAAACCTGAGTGTGTCTCACGTCTTCCAAGTGTCTCTCTTTCTCTTAATCCTTGTTCTTAAGCACATACTGATGTAAAATTTCCAATTCTGTCTCATCATAATTGGTTAATCCTTAAACTCCTTCCAGCATGAAAGCCATATGCCCCAGTTTGGCCTGAGTCTAGGTCCCTAAAAGATTAGAAGACACTTCAGACCAATAAGGGTGGCAGTGTGAAGCTGTGTCTCTGTCCCCTTGGTATGGACAAGCACCTTGCTCACACCGTCCTAGATACGACCCCTGAAAATAGCATCAAAAACCAAATCCAAGCAAAATGTCTGCATGTATGAAAAGCATAGATAATCAAGGAGGTGCTTGCATAGCCATGTACACAGCAGCACTGATAACAACAGTCAAAAGTCAGTAGCAACTTTGCAAAACTCATAGCTAAGTAGACAAACAATGTGGCATATCCATAAAATAAAATACTATTTGGCCTTAAGGAAGCAAATGCTAACACATGTACAACATAGACTTTATGCTAAATAAATGAAATAATCCAGTAACAAAAACACAGACACTGTATGATTTCACCTACACAAGGTATTTCAATATTCACAAAGATATAAAGTAGAAGGTAGTTAACAGGGACCAGGGGAAGTGGGGGTGAGCTGCCAGCACTTAATGGGTACAGGGTTTCAGCTGGAAAATGTTCTGGAGATGGATAGTGGTGATGTCACACAGCAATGTGAATATACTTCCACTAAAAATAATAAAACAGTAAATGCCGTTTATGTATTTTCTGTTGTGAATTAACTTTTAAAAGAAAGCACAATAAAGAGCATGCTCGTGACAGATGGAGGCAGATACAGAGATCCACGGCCAGGCACCAGGCTGAGTTCTGGGAATCCAACTGATGAGAAAGAGGAGAGATTCTGAAGACGAGGGACGTCGAGACCATGATGGGAGGATGAGCAGAGATAACGGACAACACTAGTGGAAATCCATGACTGGTGGCTGTGGAGCCCCCATGCAACTGGACTAGGCCCTCTGGACACAGAAGACGGTTGTTTGGCTCGAACTGTTTTGGGGGCACCCAGGCAGGGGGATTGGGATCTGTCCCTCGTGCATGGGCAGGCTTCTGGAACCAGGTGCCTGTGGTATGACACCTTGCACAGCCTTGGTGCAGTGGGAAGGGGTTTGGACCTGCCTAGACTCAGTGAGCTGGGTTCTTCTGACTCCCCATGGGAGACCTCGATTTGGGGGATGTGGGAATGCGGGGTGGCTTGGGAAAGAGGGCTGGGGGAGGGAGAAGGGAGGGGGTGTCTGTGGATAGCATGAGGAGTGAGTAGAAAAGTTCTTAATAAAGAAAAATAAAATAAAATATAAACTTCCAGGCCAAAAAAAAAGAAAAAAGAGCATGCTCAAAGGACTCAGCCTCTCGGTGACAATGACAAGTCCTGTGTGTTTACATTATGGGTTGTAGGATGAAAGGGTGTGATGCTTAATATTGGTTATCAATTTGATTGGCTCTGGAATCAATTACTAGACAGGCCTCTGGGCAGGAGGGTCTGAGAGGGTATCTCCTGGAGGGATTTACTGAGGAACAAGCTCCTCCTCCAGAGTGAGCACTTATCCATTGGACCTCATCATAGCTGAACTTCCTACTTTAAGGAAGGCTCTTCCTCCACTGACTTCCATACATGCACCACAGTGTGCGAGCATGCACAACACGCACAACACACACACACACACACACACACACACACACACACACACACACACACACACACAAGTAAAACTTCAAAAGAAAAAAATGATCATTTGGTTGTTGTTTTTATTTTGTTTTTGTGTTTGCATGCCTGTGTGGTGTAAATGCATGTTATTTGATTATGTAGAGGATCAAGGTTGAGATTTCAACTGATCTCTTCCTTATACACTGAAGCAGAGTTTCTCACTTAATTTAGGGCTCAGTTTGAGCAGCTAGCCAGCTTGCTCCTAAGACTCTCTGTCTCCTCCTCCGACATCCTGGGATTACAGGCATCTTTTACAGGTGTATTCTAAGGATGTGAACTTCAATTCTCAAGCTGGATGGTCAAGTACTTGTTGAGCA